TTTGGGAAGTGATTAGGCTGGATTAGGTTGTTATGGTGTGACACCCATGAAGAAATGTGAGTGGCTAGAGATGTAGCCCTCCTGCCATATGATGTTCTTAATAGATTTGGATTTCTCCCAGCAATAATACTATCACTAGAGGCCAAACCAGTGGACCCAAGCCAGTCCTGGACTTGAACCTCAAAAGCTGTGAGCTGAAATAAATCTGTTTCCTTCATAAGCAACCTGTGTCAGGTATTTTCTTGCAGTAAAGAACAGCTGAATAACAGAGTGAACTAAACAATAGCCAGCATTTCCACCACAATATTGGTATCCTTGAAGGCAAGCATTCAATAGTTCAGTATAGACACCCCTAGAGCTTCCATAGTGGATTCTGCCTAGAGAGTTACAGACTAATCAAGGCCCCAGGTAGCTGGAATGTCTCATTGCTTCTCAAACTATCCAAGGTGAAGAAATACTAGTTTTGTTCCTTTTCATTTCAATCCATTGCCTACCGGTAATTTGTGAAACGCAATAACTATAAATTCGTTTTAAAAAGAAATGAAAATATAAAATCAGATATATATATATATATATAAAAAACACGTTAAATTATTTCTAATTATTTTATGATTAGATTTGACAGGTCCACTGATCATGCTTACATGCTGTAAAAATTTCTAAATGGCCACATTCAGATTCATTCTCATCTTATTGTGAACTAATGACAAACAGTTCACAAATGAGCTAAAGTCCATAGATCACATCTTGATTATCAGATCTAGAGAACTTGGTGGATACTGTATCATTTGTTTTTCCCCTATCTGCATGTAAACTCATGCAGTGTACAAATCTGTTTTTAAAGTTCTAGGTCATCATACTTAGAAACTTATGATAATATAAGAATTCATACAAATGCTGCTAACTGAAGGTAAACTGGAGATGGACATTTGGCCTAGTGGTTAAGGTGCAGTTAGGATGCCCATGACTCATATCAGAGAGCTTAGGTTTGATGCCCAGCTCTGGCTCCTGACTCAAGCTTATGTCTAATGCAGACCCTGGAAGGTAGTGGTGAGGTTTCAAGAGCCTGAGTTCCTGTCACCCATATGATAGACCTGGATATTGAGTTTCTAGTCTCCAGCTTCAGTATGGTCCAGCCCTGCACATCACAAGCATTTTGGGGAGTGAGCTAGCAGATAGTAGCACTCTCACTTTCTCTCTATGGCTCTCTCCCTCTCTCTCTGTCTCTCTCTCTCTTAGTAGGGGATTGGGCAGAAATGAACTGAAGTTTTAAGAATTTTGAAGTTATTTCATAACAACACTTCCCAAAGTGTTTGTTAGAAAGACCAACAGGGGCCAACACTGTGGTACAGTAAGTGAAAACCTTGGCCTGAAGCGTCGGCATCACATATGGGCACCAGTTCGAGTCCTGGATGCTCCTCTTCCGATCCAGCTCTCTGCTAAGGCCTGGGAAAGCAGTAGAAGATGGCCCAAGTCCTTGGGCCCCTGTACCCGCATGGGAGACCCGGAAGAGACTCCTGACTTCAGCTCAGTGCCGCCCATTGCGGCCATCTGGGGAGTGAACCAGTGGATGGAAGACCTCTCTCTCTGTCTCTACCTCTTGCTGTAACTCTTTCAAATAAATCTTAAAAAAAATACCATTTTTTCTTCATACTTCCTCCAGATCATTAAACAATTCTATAGAAAAAAAAATTTCTTTGATTTGAATAGTGGAATATCAGTTCTCTTTTTTTTATCAGTTCTCTTTTTTTTAAAAGAAATATGTTACATAAGTATTTATCTTAAAATTGACCTTCAGAAAGCAAGATTTTCGAATCTATTTTATCTTCTTGTTACCCTGAAATTGACATTTAATCTCATTATGTTTTTAATAGTCTTTACTTCTAATCATAATAAAGTACTTAAGTATATTTGGGTAAAAGTACTGACAGTAAATACAGCTTAGGGAAGTAATATATACTTACTTGTAAATGCACACACTTAGACTAAATTCTGGTCCTAAGCTAATAATGATTACTCTGTGAGCAATTTTCTATTAGCTAACATAATGAAATATATGAATAAATACCACATCAGTTACCACATTATATACATAATTTTAAGACCCTTGGTCTCCTTTTTTAAGCCCGGTCTCTGATTGACATAGAATTTAGATTTACATGAAATATCTTCATAATCATATTATTATTTTTAGCAAAATGGAGATCACTTAGAAGTACAAAAGCAAAACAGCACTCAACTTGTTTATGAATTTTTCTTCTTCAGGGACATAGTTAAAGATATAGTTAAAGCTGATGATTATATTGCTTTCAGAGTAATGTGTTTTCCTTTATGGTTATGTTTCTACATATGTAGGACAATAGATTGAAAAATGAAAGTAAAATTTAAATTTAAGAATTTGAGGGCAGGCACTGTGGTGTAGAAGGTAGAAGGCTAAACCTCTGCCTGCAGTACTGGGCTCCAATATGGGTGCCAGTTCAAGTCTGGGCTGCTCTACTTCAGATCTAGCTCCCTGCTAAGGCGCCTGGGAAAGCAGTGGAGGATGGACGAAGTATTTTAGTCTCCTGCACCCACTTGAGAGACCAAAGGAAGCTCCTACCTCCTGTTTTCAGCCTGTCCCAGTCCAGGCAGTTACAGCCGTCTGGGGAGTGAACCAGCAGATGGAAGACCATCCCCCCTTTATTTCTGTGTGTGTGTCTCTCCCTCTGTCTCTGCAACTCTGACTTTCATATTAACAAATAAATCTTAAAAAAAGAAAAACTCTATATGTTCTTAAAAATTTAATAATTTAAGTGGAATTTCTTTTATCCAACTTCATTATCACACATCTCATTATTCCACATAATCAGATTAATAGCAGACAGGGAAGGAAAACTGAAGAGTGTGAAATAATACTATTATTTTACTTTGCAATAATACACATGTTCAAATATGTAATAATAAAGTAAGAAATGAAATTAAACTTGCAACATGAGATAAGAATGTAGAACTCTGTTTTTTTGTGTGTATGGTTGTTTCTGATAGAAATTGGTGTTTGTACCAATCATGTTTTGATATTTAAATGCATATTATTTTTCATTATTTCATCTTAAAAACCTGATTTATATTGAACATCTTAGACAGAGTGATTATTTATGACCACATAGAAAATAAAACACTAAGTTTTCATAATTTTCACTGGTATCCAAGGGACAGTAATTTAAATTAGCAACAGATTTTTAAAACACACACACACACACACAAACCTGCTAGGTATCCTAGCTAATGAGACAATAACAAGCATTAAAGTATTTTTATCATTTGTAAAAGAAGCAGCATTTGCATATTTGTTGCCATGAGCAGAATGACTTTTTAATGGATATTGCAATAACATATCAGATAAGCAGACTGAGATTCAGTCTGTGGTGCCAAATACAAAATTAAACGCTGTGTTTCTATCTTACAGAATTGTTTATTTCACTTCCTTAAGGAGCTGAAACAGAAAAGCATTGCTTCTTCCCTTGTCACAAATATCTGTGTCATATCGCTAGGACCACCCAACCTTTTTACCTTAGGTTATTCACAGAAGAATTAAATAGGTTAGATTTTACATATCACATACTCTTATTTCTTCAAAAGTAGATAGATTCATGTAAGGAAAACCAGGCTATTGCTCTACTGAAGTTTAAAAATAATAGACAAGTAAATTTTAGAAATAGATACAATATTAGATTAAGGGAAGAAAATCCTTTACTGAGGAATTACATGGCTTGACAGTAAAATATGTGAAAAAGATTTTGATGATCCAGTAGACCACCCTGAAATGAGGTAAGGTTAGAATAAAGTAGCAAAAAGGAGTAAAATGTAGCAGAAAAAAAGAGTAAAATACAGACTGAATTAATGAACTGATGGTCTTAGCATGTTAGTAGCATCATATGGTTGATTTCAACTGTTGGATCAATATTTTAAGAAGGTGACAGTAAAATATAGTACCTCCAAATGCAGAAACCTAGGAGTCAGAATGTCTGTCAACTTTAGATTGATTAAAGCAGAAGTCACAATTGGCAGCTGAAAAGCAGAATCCAACCCTAGAAAATTGTTTTATTTGGCTGGCACAGTGCTGAACTGCACAGTGTGTTGAAATTCAGAATGGATACCAATATTTAGAAATCATGAGATTTCTCATACAAATTAGAATTCTAGTTGCTGGAGGAATTCCAAAATCTGGCAAGCAAGGCTGGCATTTCCCTCTTGGCAATGACCACATACAGGAGCCTCAGCCTACCCTGATGTTTAAGGTTTGTATTCTCCCTCTTGCCACAGACCCTTTCCTCTCTGTTACCTTTCAGTACACCCAACTTCATACAATCGCGCCCCAGCCCGGCCTGTTTAAGTGTATGAATTTAACAGACCTCTCAGAGAGGCTCAGGATGTGAGGTCTGGAGCATTGAGAGGAGTTACTATCACGCTTTTGGATTTTTTTCAGACTGTTAATAGATTGTTAGGAAACTGGTGCAGTTGTAGCCAGGTGGCCGCATGGCCCAGCTACCTGAGCCAGGTTCCACCCCCATCCTGATGGGATTCGCTGCTCCTGCTTCCCTGCCCGCCCTCAGGCAAAGTTTTAAAAGGGCCTGTTCCTGAACACTTGCTCTCTTGGCTCTTCTCTCTTGGTCCTTCTCTCCTGCTCTCTCTCTGTTCCTCTCTCTAGCCTCCTCCTCTGGTCTCTTGGCTCTGCTCTCCTCTCTCCTCTTTTCTGCTCTCTCTTCTCTCCTTGCAACTCCTCTCCTCTCTGTTTCTCTCTTATATTCTCTTTCTCTCTTTTTCCTTGGCCGCCCCTTCACTCCTGTCTGTAGGGTGTTCCCCAATAAACCCTTTCCCTTACTCCGGTGTCCGGTGTGCTTTGCGACGGCTAACATTAAGATATAACATAGATGAGCAACTGCACTTTATGTTTTCACGAAGAGCAGAGCTAGCGTCACCCGACACACAGCATGCATCCGCTTGCAGTGCCCCCAGTCAATCAGCCTCAAGTGGGAACTGCTCTGAGGAAAGCTCTGTGTACTTGTGACAGGTAAAGGAGAAAGCGGGGCGGTATAGTTCGGAGGAAACTGCCTCTCTGAGAAGGGAGTGTCTAGGATGCGGCAAAGCAGGAGGGGGAGGCTCCTTCAGCTCATACATGTAAGTAACATACATCTTCCTGCATTGTATGTTTGGAAAATGACAGCAAACTCTTCCCCGAGCAGAAAATTGAGTACTATAATGAGGAAAGCACAGAAGAGGGCACAGCGGTCTGACTCACCTCGGTTTCGTGTGGCTTAACTGCTCCTTGTCTGTGGTGCCCTGGACCCCTCTGAGGGCCGTGCTGTGAAATCAGCTTTCCCGGGACATGCTGTGAGAAAGAAGCTCCGGAGTTGAGGTTCTCTGCCAGTGTTCCGGTGCTCCCCCCTTCCTTTTCAGTCCCGGTCCTACACTGTTGGTGACAGTAGGAGTTAACCGTGGAGTTTATAGCAATATGGATTTTAGGAAAACATGAAGAAAAAATTTGTAGCATTTGAGACAGAGCTATAAATCAATAGAGATTTTTTTTTTTTTTTCAGAAAGGAGAGTGTGTCTTTCATTGCAGATACACAAATAAAGTCTGGATGATAGCGTTTGTCATCAAAAAAGCATTGTTCTGTTGACCCTGATATATATCTAAATAAACACAGTTTATCCACATGTATGAAAATGATTCAACTTTAGTAGTTATGTTGCTACTTATCTGGAAACTTCTTTTTGCCCTGCTCTTAAACTCCTCTCCATTTCTCCAATGTCACATTGACTGAAAAATATGACATTTATAGGAGAAAGGGAGTGATTGCTCAGAATCCCCCACTTTTATGGGTGGGAGCATGTAACACACTTATTAAAATGCCTGTATCCCACATTGGAGGGCCTGAGTCTGAAACCCAGCTCTGATTCCTGGATCTAGCTTCTGCCAATACAGAACCCTGGGAAGGAGCAGTAGTTACTCAAGTATTTGGGTCTCTACTACCCAAATGGGAGATCTGGCCGTTGAGGGCACTTGAGGAATGAATCAGTAAGTAGGAGTGCTCTCTCACTTACATTATGTATCTCTTGATGGGCTGCATCCATGTAACATTCCTGCCAAAACAATAAAATATTAACCAAAATTCAATCATGGGAACAAATTGCAAAGGTGCAAACAGAAGACCCTTTTGCGAAAACAGTTGATTTCTACTATTTTAAAATATCAGTAACATGAAAGACTTGGAATGTGTTATCAAATAACGCAGACTGGATGCAAAGTATGCTTATTAAAAAATTTATTTTATTTATTTATTGGAAATGCAGAGGAATGCGGTGGGTAGGGAGAGAAAGATAGAGACCTTCCATCCACCAGTTCACCTTCTAAATGCCTGCAACGGGTGAGGCTGGACAAGGCCAAAGCCAGGAGCCATGAACTCCATTCAGGTCTCCGATGTAGGGATGTAGGTGGCACTTGAGTTCCATTAGCAGGAAGCAGGATAGGTAGCTGAGCCAGGACTTAAACCCAGGAATTTCAATATGGGACACAGCCGTCCGAACCACTGCCTTTACCCCTGCACCAAATGCCTGCCTCCACAGAATCATCTTTGATTGGCTCCTGGACTGAGGAAATGTCATGACAGTGGAAAGGCATTGAATATGAGCTGAATATTAGCCAACTGTATCATATTAATGTTAAATATGCTAAGAGTGATCACTGTGTTGTGGTTATGTAGAAAAGTATCTGATTGTTTGGAAACAAAGGCTTAGGTATTCAGGGATGAAGTACAATGTCTGCAAACAATTCTCTAATGATTTCAAAAGGGAAAAGAGAGAGAGAGAGAGAAAGCATACCTGAGCGAGAAAGAGCACCTAAGGCCAGATTTTAACAATTGTTAAATCTAAGTGAAAGGAGGGTTTGCAGGTGTTCTTTGTGTTATTCCAGCAGCTTTTCTGAAGACATGATATTTTTCCACAGCTCAACAGTAGTGATGAGATATTATTATTTTTAATTATGTAGAGTATGACCATTGCATATTAGCTATGTGAAAAATAAAAGACTCTTTTAAAGATGCATACTTAACTGATCACAGGTAAAATAACATAATGTCTGACTTTAATTTAGCTAAAAAAAGAAAGTGGGAGAATAAACAAAATAAAATTAGCAACTTCGTTATAACTGAGTTAACAGTTACTTGGTGGCTTATTCTATCTAAAGGTTAATTTACTGAAAGCTTTATTAGAATACTGCTCACCATGTTTGTTGTTGTTGTTGCTATTGTTATTTCAAGGGCAGTTTGCATATAGATTTTGTTAGGCAGGAAGTCAGAAATGCAGCCTATGTGTGTGTGGAGACAGGCATGAAGACCAGCACCTACTGTGGATGCTCCAGAAGCCCAGCATCTTGCACTTCAAAGTCCTGCCCAGACCCTGATAACCTCCCAGGTGGTCCCAGCCCTTCCCCCAAGGAAAGCTCCCAGAAATCTCTCTCCTCAGGACCAAAGGGGTTACCTGACCTGATAACATGGGGCAATAAAACCTTCTCAGATGCCCAAAAAGGGAAGCCCCACTTCTCTGCCCGGGTACTAGCAAATCTAGGGAGGAATTTGCTACTTTTCACCCAACAAACCCTTCTGCCAGGACTCTCCATCCTTCGCCCTGGAGAAGAGAGGGAGGTGGGTAAACAGACTCCCTTAAAAACTCAGGGAGTCCAAACAGACTGTGGGCTCAGCCCTCTGCCTCTCTGCTGAGCTGCTCGCCTGGCCTGCCCAGATGTATTCTTTCTGATATCAGAAATGACCCCCTAAAATCTATATAAGAATGTGGCCCTTAAAGTTCCCCAGAAGCGCCATCTGGAATGCCCCCAGAATTTGGGGTGCCATACGATATCACCATATGCTTATTAATAAATCCTCAATATTAATAAGCCTGAGAGGGTTCTTGCCTAATATTTAGAGAAGAATTCTAAATACCGGCATCAATAAATGAGGCAGCATGGAACATGTTAGGCTTTTATTTAGTGTGAAAGGTGCATAGGAAAGTGAGGGCTTCAGTTCAGTTTAAAGAGAAGGGAAAATCTGGAAACTAGAGTAATGTCCACACCAAGCAGAGAGCAAGTCAGAAGCCACGTGCAGCAAGCGCTTTGAGCTGCTATCCACCGCTTATCACTGGCAGCAAAGCAGAGGCAGAGTGCCTTTTGGGCGCTCCTTGCCTTTTATATATTTTTCACAGGGGAGTGGCTTGTGGGCAGGTGGGCGCTCAGGTATGGTCAGGTAGAGCATGATGTCACACAGGGGTGGGGTGAGGGTATCAGGTAGGGTGTGAGGTCACACAGGGGTGTGGCGAAGGCGTGGTCTTCCAGCTCACACACCTAATCAGTTTTAGCCTGTCTACTTCAACTCCACTCAACCATGTAACCTCGCTCTCACCCAGTCTGAGTGATTCACTCTCATCTTCCATTCTGACAGATGCCCTATCCCCAACAAAACCTTATCATTTTGCACTGTCTCACGCCTGAATTCTTTCTTCATGAAGGCAAGAACCCCATGGCTTCCACGGCCTTCCTCCAGTAACACAACTACCCAACATCATCACAATGTTACTGTAGAATATTTCTTAAACAAAAAGGTGGGGCGGGCACTATGGAGTAGCTGGTAAAGCCGCTGCCTGCAGTGCTGGCATCCAGTATGGCACCAGTTCAAATCCCGGCTGCTCCACTTTCTACCCAGCTTCTGCTATGGCCTGGGAAAGCGGTAGAAGATGGCCCAAGTCCTTGGACCCCTGCACCTGTGGGAGAGCTGGAAGAAACACCTGGCTCTTAGCTTCAGATCGGCACAGCTCCAGCCATTGCGGCCAATTGGGGAGTGAACCAGCAGATGGAAGATATCTCTCTCTTTGCTTCTCCTTTCTCTGTGTAACTCTGACTTTCAAATAAATAAATAAATCTTTTTTTTTTTTTTTTTTGACAGGCAGAGTTAGACAGTGAGAGAGAGGGAGAAAGAGAGAGAAAGGTCTTCCTTCTGTTGCTTCACCCCCCAAATGGCCGCTGCGCCGATCTGAAGCCAGGAGCCAGGTGCTTCCTCCTGGTCTCCCATGCGGGTGCAGGGCCCAAGCACTTGGGCCATCCTCCACTGCCTTCCCGGGCCACAGCAGAAAGCTGGAATGGGAGAGGAGCAACAGGGACAGAATCCGGCACCCCAACCAGGACTAGAACCTGGGGTGCGGGCGCCGCAGGCGGAGGATTAGCCTACTGAGCTGTGGCGCTGGCCAAATTAAAAAAAAAAAAAAAAAGTGTTATGCCTAGTGATAGATGTTTAGCAGTCATAGCTTTCTCCTTTCAGAATGCTTTTAAGGCGGAAAACTTTTAGCATACTCCTTTATTCTTCCTATTGTTAGGTGGGAAGTCAGAAATTAGCTTATGTGTGTGTGACAAGGGCCTAAGGAACTGACATCTACAGTGGTCCAGCATCCGCATTTCAAAGTCACCCCATGATAACCTTCCAGGTACATCCCAGTATCTGTACTTCAAAGTCCTGGCCAGATCCTACTAACCTTCCAGGGGGTTCTGCCCCTTCTACCTAGTTCCAGGTGCAGCCCAGTTTCTGTACTTCAAAGTCCTGCCTGAATCCTGATGACCTTCCAGGGGGTCGTGCCCCTTCTACTTGGCCTGATAAACATCCTTCCTCTAAGGTGGGCAACCTAGAGAGAAGCCCCGTTGGCCGAAGCCAACCAGGCTTCACCTGTCTGTCAAGTTCAGGGAGAAAACTCAGAAAGAATTTTTCGTATTTACATCCACCAAGTCCTTTGTTCTGGAGGAGAAGAAGGAGAGGGGGAGAGAAAAGGTGGGAAGGCAAGACCCATCCCCTTGAAAACCCCAACCTAAATGTGAACTGCACACTCTCAGGTTCTGTCTGGAGAGGTGTCCATCCATTCTTGCAGATGTCCCTACCCTAATAAACCTTGCTACTTTGCTTTCCACTGCTCTCTGTCTCACGCTTGAATTCTTTTTTGCACGAAGACAAGGGCTGTTTGTTTCTCCGGTAATACTATGAATATGGAAGTCTGCCAGAAGTAGGTTATCTTTAAACAATCTCTGAAAAATATCAGCAAATATGTTACTTTATATACTCTCCAGTATGGACACTAAATCTCTATATATCAAATTGTTACTGGAGGGAAGGCCGTGGAAGCCATGGGGTTCTTGTCTTCACACAAGAAAGAATTCAGGTGTGAGACAGAGCGGAGTGATAAGGCTTTATTGGGGACAGGGCTGCCCAGTCACTGGGACTGGGGGAGAGTGAGGTTACCATGGTTGAGTGGAGAAAATACGAGTGGGCAGGCCAGGTAGGCGGCTCAGCAGAGAGGCAGAGGGCTGAGCCCACAGTCTGTTTGGACTCCCTAGGTTTTTAAGGGAGTCTGTTTACCCACCTCCCTCTCCCCTCCAGGATAAAGGATGGAGAGTCCTGGCAGAAGGGTTTGTTGGGTGAAAAGTAGCAAATTCCTCCCTAGATTTGCAGAGAAGTGGGGCTTCCCTTTTTGGGCATCTGAGAAGGTTTTATTGCCCCATGTTATCAGGTCAGGTAACCCCTTTGGTCCTGAGGAGAGAGATTTCTGGGAGCTTTCCTTGGGGGAAGGGCTGGGACCACCTGGGAGGTTATCAGGGTCTGGGCAGGACTTTGAAGTGCAAGATGCTGGGCTTCTGGAGCATCCACAGTAGGTGCTGGTCTTCATGCCTGTCTCCACACACACATAGGCTACATTTCTGACTTCCTGCCTAGCAGTTGGAATCAAAATAATTATCAGAAGATGGGTTTTATCATACTCATTTTTTTTTCATTTCTCTTTAAACATTCCCTTTTGGAAGTTAAATTGGTCATGTCCAGTTATACTGCATTTTCATAATAAACCATGAAACTAATTGTTCTTTCTATAAAAATTTGTGTTGCTACCATAACACAGCTCTTTTTTCTTAGCCAAATACAGAATGAAAGAATCAGTTTCATACAATTCCAAAAAAAAAAAATACTCAAAGGGCAAGATTTTGTCTGGCCCTCAGAAATAATGTATTTCATTAGTCTATAAACAGGATACCCCTTTCTTCTAAACAGTTGCTAAATTATAAAATGTTGTATAAGGAATTTTGAAAGCAGTATTTTTAAATGTAGGTTTGGATTTTAAGCAGTCAAATTGTTCAAAAAATTACTAATATTAAGAGAACAGATTTCATGTCTTTCAGATACAATTTCAAGAAGCTAAACATACTTCCCTGCTTCCTGTCTCATCCCCCTCCTGCTTGATTCCTTTTTTTCTTTAATTTTTATAATAACATATTTTAATTTACTTTATAATCACAGCTTTAATGAATCACTAATTATAATGGTCAACAAGTGAAAATTAGAAAGTCTACTGTTACACAGGAAAACAGAAAAGGGCTTTAAATATAAGTAAATCTTAAGATATCAGTTTCAGTCTTGTACATTTCTTGTATTCTATATTAACTACCACAAATCAGAGAAAACATAAGATATTTGTCTTTTTGCAACTGGATTGTTTCACTATGCATAATAGTCTCTAGTAGCATCCATTTTGTTGCAAAAGACAGGATTTATTCTTTTTTATGGCTGAGTAGCATATACCACTAACTTTATCCAGTCATCACTTGATGGACATGTGGATTGATTCCATCTCTTAGCTATTGTGAATTGAGCTGCTTTAAATATGAGGGTATAAATAAGTTTCATATGCTGATTTCATCTCCTTTGAGTAAATTCCCAGGAGTGGAATATCTGGGTCATATTCTAGATATATTTTCAGATTTCTTAGGAATCTCCATACTGTCTCCCATAATAATTGTACTAGTTTGTGTTCCCACCAACAGGGTATTGGGGTAATTTTTTCTGTATAGCTTTGCCAGCATTTATTGATTGAGTGATTTATTGAGTGATTTTTCAAGTCATGGTGAAGTAGGCAGGCATACAGGCTAATTTTGATTAGGTTTGTGAGCTGGAAGACCACGCCTTCACCACGCCCCTGTGCGACCTCACACCCTACCTGATACCTTCACCACGCCTCTGTGTGACCTCATGTAGGGACTGGAGTCCCTAGCTTGCTAAATGTCAGTTTCTCACTCTGGCTTGCTTGCTTGCCAGCTGTAAGGCCATGACAGGCCTCATTCTGGACCAGGAAGGAGGCAGGCCGGGTCCTTGAGAACAAACAAAGTAAGCTCCCCTGGAATTTATGACCTTCTGCTCCCCACCAGCTCCCCTGGGATTTATGGCCCAATGCTTCCCACCAGTTCTTCCCCATGCCATCTCCTTTGTGTGGCCTTCCCACCACATAACATATATAGTCTTTACGTTTAAATGAACCAACGAACATGTTAGGTCCCAATACCTTGCCATATAGAGTAAGAAGGTAACCTACCTAGGAGATGACCTGCACCCTTGCAAGTGTGAGGCTCTAAAAACCTCTCTTATGCAAACGAGAGGGCCTTTTGCCTGTGCACTGCTAAAGGGCTGTGTGCGGGTAGGGGGTCCCAGCCAGCTGGTAACAAATAAACCTCTGCTTTTGCATCCCTGACTGTGTCTTGTGCATTGATTGGGAAATCCGGACTCTACACTCATCCCCCTACCTGGCCACACCTTGGTGCCCACCAGCGAATCAGGTTAATTAGCCACTCCCCTTTGGAAGTGGGTTAAAAGCCTGGGACAAGGTGTGCCCCGCCCTTCTCTTCTTCCCTGGCCTCTTGCCAGGAGGGGGCTTGCTGTAGCCCTGCACCTCTCACCCTAGGCTTCCTGGCTTAGATGCTCCTCCACGTGGCTGGTTCTTGGTGCTCAGTATGAACCCAGATTTACCCCTCTCTCTTAGATAAAGTTCTCTCTCCTATAATTTCTCCCACTGAATAAAAGCTTAAAATATACCATGCTGCCTCATTTATCTGTGCCAGTATTTAGAATTCTTCTCTAAATATTAGGCAAGAACCCTCTTGGGCTTATTAATATTGGGGATTTAGTAATAAGCCCGTGGTGAAATCGTAAGGCACTCCAAATTCCCGTAGTACATATGGCACCCCAGATAGCACTTCTGGGAGACTTAAGGGGCCACATTTTAGTGTAGATTTCAGGGGGTCATGTCCGATTTCAACTGGGCTCTCTCTCCCTGTCCCTTCCATCCTGACAGATGCCCTGTCCCCAATAAAACCTTATTGCTTTGCTCTCTGTCTCATGCCTATAGTCTTTCTTGCATGAAGACACTTCCCCTCTATGGCACCTGAGATTGCCTCTTTCCTCTCTTCCTGACTCTCCCCTCCTGCGTGCAAAAAGGTACAGTAAAGGCTAGAGAATGTTTATTACTCTGAAAAGCCCTGCACTTGGGACACTCTAAGCTTCTAAGACAATGCACTGTAAACTTCACCTAGGAACCTTTTTCTCATTCTCCACCCGCCCACCTTTACAGAGCCCTTGTGATGCTGTGCACCTCCCCCAGTAAGCAGCTCAAGAAAGGGCTCCGTCTGCTGTTCAGACCTGACTTCAACTCCTCACGTGCAGCCCTGCCCTCTGTCTGGGCAGGCTCAGTTCTAAAGTCTTCTCTAACTAGCTGCCTCTTCTTCTTTGGACCCTAAAATCTAACAAAAAGAGAGCTGCATCTCACCTTGCTACTCTGTCTCATATCTAGATTCTCTCTTGCACAAAGACAAAATCTCTCTTCCAGCCATCTCTCATAATATATTTGTCAGAGCTAGCAAAGAAAAAACTCAAGAACAGTGCCTTCCAGGAGGACCTCTAGATGACTTCACCTCCAATCGCCTCGTTTGATGACCTCCAACAACTGATCATCGATCTCTGGCTCCAAGGAACTGTCATCTACTTTACTCCAGACCAGATGGACTTCTTCACTATCACTTTATATCTCATACTTAATCCATAAACAGGAGAGCCACTGGTACTCCACTCCACCAGTCTGCCTTCCTGACCTCGTGTCAAATTGTACCCACACAGATACCCTTTTTACTTTCTGTTTATACTCCATATTGTAGTGCAATGTAACTCCCTGCTACTATCTACAGGCATAGTAGCTCTAATCTTTGCCATGGGCTCTGCAGCAGTTGCCCTCACTGGATGGACCTGTAGTAAAAAACCTTTCTTAACACTCCTTTATCTCTTTTGGGTAGGTTGCTTTTCTGCTCTCTCCCAGGAGGTGGACTGCTATGCTCTGAGAGTGAGACTAATTAGCTCCCCTTCCTGGTTCTGTCATGGTCATCCTTATGCCCTGCTATTCAGAGCATGCCTATTTCATTTGTTCCAAAATTTCTTACAGAATCGCATCAAAGCTGCCTCTCAAGATCGGGTTAAGACCATGATGCTACTCTACCACCTCAATCAAGGATACCAGCCGCTACCCTCAAAGAGGACTCCAGGCGCTAGAGGTAAATCCCCACAGCCCCTTTCAGCAGGAAGTAGCCAGATAGAATCCATCTTGCTCTTCCTTTTTTTTTTTTTTTTTTCTTTTTTTGCCTCTAGAGTCTGAGATAAAGGACAATACAGCTCACAAAAATGTCACCCTTACCCCCACCCCTTGTTGTGTCCGAATTACCCAATCAATGCACAAGACACAGTCAGGGATGCAAAAGCAGAGGTTTATTTGGTACCAGCTGGCTGGGACCCCCTACTCGCACACAGCCCTTTAGCAGTGCACAGGCAAAAGGCCCTCTCGTTTGCATAAGAGAGGTTTTTAGAGCCTCACACTTACAAGGGTGCAAGTCCTCTCCTAGGTAGGTTACCTTCTTACTCTCTATATGGCAAGGTATTGGGACCTAACATGTTCGTTGGTTCATTTAAACGTAAAGGCTATATGTGTTATGTGGTGGGAAGGCCACACAAAGGGGATGGCATGGGGAAGAACTGGTGGGAAGCATTGGGCCATAAATCCCAGGGGAGCTGGTGGGGGGCAAGAGGTCATAAATTCCAGGGGAGCATGGCAGGCAAGCAAGCAGCCAGAGTACAGAAGAGAGACCGGCATTTAGCAAGTTAGGGACTCCAATCCCTACACCCTCACCCCAGTGGGAAATCCACTCATGGTCTCTCTCTAGCCACCTGCAAAATGGCTTGCAAAAATAGATAAACAAAAGGCTTCCACAGTTTCTAGAGAGCCTCTCGTGCCAAGTTCTCTTTCCTGGCAGCAGACAAGATAAAAGACCAGCCATGCCCATGCCCTGCACACAGTCTCTTCAGAGACTGTCACCACTTCTTTGCTTCAATAAAGTAATCTGTCTCTGTTGAGGTCAGTCTCTGTCTCTTTCTTTTAGGGGATATGAAAGGCCAGAACCTCAAATTATTTAAACCTAACTATGCCTGTTTATTACCTGTATTTAAACAGAACAATGCCAGTTTACTAACTGTATTATTTGTTTTGTTGCTGACTTTCTTAAGTTCCTTATATAACTTGGATATTAATCCTTTATCAGATGCATTATTTGCAAATATTTTCTTCCATTCTGTCAGTTATCTCTTCATTTTGTTGAGTGTTCCCATTCTCTGCTTGATGTAATCCCATTTATCTATCTTTGCTTTTATTGATGTGCTTCTGGTGTGAGGAGTCCAATGGATAATAGGCAGTCAGGGGGGTCCCCTGGTAGAAATTTGGAATAGCAAGGTGCCTGCTCCCATCCAAAAGGTTATATTTAGTAGATCAAAGTGTCTTTCTTCCTTAGGAATCTCAAAGTTTATAAATTTACCATGAAAATAACAAGGGAGTGGATGATTTTTTTTATTCATAAGCGAGCCAGAAAGGATGGAGAATTGTAAATCAGTTTGTTGAGTTTATCTCCACCTTGTTGATTGACAGTTTGGTCTCCAAGATTGTACTTTTAAAAACTTCATTACCACCAGCCCTTTGGGTGTTCCTCTCTTGGAACCCCTCTCATTGACTCTCTGGCAGGAGGTTTCCAACTTGAATAAATCTTACTTTATTTTCACTGCGTGTCTGCGTGATAATTCTTTTGCATGAGACAAAGAACTGAGGCCATCTCTTCACACCATTTTCCCATAACACTGGGATCTTTTCCAAGAAGTCTTTGTCTTTGCCAATGTCTTGCAGAGTTTCTCCAATGTTTTCTTCTAGTAATTTTGGTAAAATCAGGTCATAGACTTATATCCTTGATCAGTTGTGAATTTAAATTTTGTATGGCATATAAGGTAGTGCTCTTGTTTCATAGTTGTGCATATGAGGAATCACCCAGAGATCATGAAGGAATCCAATTGTACCCACACCATTTGTTAAAGAGACTGTCCTTTCTCAAGGGAGTGATTTTGTTACCAGAAGGAAGGTTGTAGAAGCTGTGGGGTTCTTGTCTTCACACAAGAAAGAATTCAGGTGTGAGACACAGAGTGGAGTGATAACATTTTACTGGTGGTAGGGCATCCCTCAGAACTAAAGGGACAGAGAGAGAGTGCCCAGTCGCTGGGGCTGGGGGAGAGTGAGCATGGTTGAGTGGAGAGAATACACCTGGGCAGGCCAGGCGGGCTGCTCAGCAGAGAGGCAGAGAGCTGAATGCTCTGTCCATTTGGACTCCCTAGGTTTTTAAGGGAGTTATAAATTTATAGATTCCTACCTAACAATTTTAGCTTAATTGTCGAAGCATATTGCATTGTTGATGCATAGATTGATTTCTGAGGTTTCTAATTTTTTCCATTGGTATATATGTCTATTTTCATGCTAGTACCAGGCTACTTGATACAACTATCCTGTATCATGTTTTGGAATCTGGTATTGTGATGGTTCTGGCTGTTTCTGTTGTTAAAATTGCTTTAGTGGGTAGCGGGTAAAGCTGCTGCCTGCAGTGCCGGCATCCCATGTGGGAGCCGGTTCAAGTTCCGGCTGCTCCACTTCCAATCCAGCTGTCTGCTATGGCCTGGGAAAGCGATGGAAGTTGTCCCAAGTCCTCGGGACCTTGCACCCAAGCCAGAGACCTGGAAGAGGCTCCTGGCTCTTGGGATCAGTGCAGCTCTGGCCTTGTGGCCATTTGGAGAGTGAACTAGTAGATGGAAGACCTCTCTTTCTCTCTCTCTCTCTCTGCCTCTCTGAAATTCTGCCTTTCAAATAAAATAAATAAACCTTAAAAAAATAAAATTCCTTTAGCTATTCTGGGTCTCTCTGTTTCTGTGTGAATTTTAGCATTATTTCTCTAGAAATGAGAATGATGTCCTTGGTATTTTGATTGGCTTCACATTGAATCTGTAAATTGCTTTGGGTTGTATGGACATCTTTACTATATTAAGACTTCCAGTCCATCAACATGGAATATTTTTTACTGTGTCTTTTCTTTCTTAGTGTTTTATAATTTTCATTATAGAGATCTTTCACATCCTTAGTCAAATTTATTCCAAGATATTTAATTTTTTGTAGCTTTTATGAATTATATCAATTTTATAATTCCTTTTCAGCCATGATATTGTTTGTGTGTAAAAATGCTATTGATTTTTGTGTGTTGATTTTATATCCTGCAATTTTGGCAAACTCTCTTGTAAGTTCCATTAGTATCTTACTTAATGAAGTATTTTGGTTCCTCTATGAATGGGATCATGTAATCTGAAACAGGGATAATCTGACTTTTTCTTTTCCCATTTGTATCACTTTGATTTCTTTTCTTGTCTAATGGCTCTGGCAAAAACTTCCAGAACTATATTGAGTAGTAATGGTGACAGTGGGCAACCTTGTCTGGTTCCGATTCTTAATGCTTCCAGGTTTTCCCCATTCAGTATGATGCTAGCTGTGGTTTTATCATATATTACCTTGATTGTGTTGAGATATATTCCTTCTACACACAATTTGCTTGGGGTTTTTAAAATTTTTTTCATGAATGGATGCTGTAGTTTAGCGAATGCTTTCTCTACATCTATTGAGATAATCATGCTTTTATTTATCAATTTTTTAATTTGATGTATCACATTTATGATTTGCATATGTTGAACCATCCCTAAAATGTCAAATTTATAGGCTATATAGCCCACTTAAGATTTTCAGTTCACTCTATCCCACATATCACAAAAACTTAAGCTGATATTTTCATAATCTATTTACTGTTCCTGAAATGTATTTAGAATTATGACCAAGAATGAGAGTCTTTCTTGTGTTGTCTCTAACCCAGTTCAGAATCAAGAGACAGTTCATATATCTATCTGCAAAAAGCAAACAAAAATCAATAATACAAACAAATCACCTAATGAGAAATTCATACAATGTCACAATACATTAGAGGTGTTTTGAAAAAGTTATGAAAAATGTATATTATCAAAAAAGTGCGTATGTATGTAAAAACACTTTGCAACCAAATTAGCTTATATTTTCATTCAATTTCCCACAGTTTTTGAGTCCTGGCATGTATCAAAGTTTTGTACATTATATTCTTCACAGTGTAATGTTTCTAGCTTTTCCTTTTAAAAATTAAATTACTTAAAAATTTTGTTTATATATGCAAATGATTTTTAAATATTTCCTCATATATAGCCTAATTATTGTTTTGAAAAATGTGATTTGTTTATTTGAAAGCCAGAGCTACAAAAAGAGAGGGAGAGACTTAGAGAGAGACCTTCCATCCTCTGGTTCACTCCCCAAATGACCACAACAGCCAGGACTGTGCCAGGCTGAAGCCAGGAGCCAGGAGCTCTTTCTGGGTCTGCATGCAGATGGTAGAAGCCCAAAGATTTGGATCATGTTCTGCTGCTTTCCTGGGAGCATTACCAGGGAGATGGATTGGATGTGGAGCATCCAGGACACGAACCAGCACTCAAATGGGATGCCAGTGTCACAGGCAGTGGCATAACACACTATGCCATAATAATTATTTTTTGAAAATAAATTATTAGAATACAATATTGGTATATAAGTACTATATCTAGCCCAAAGACATACATGCTATGATTTCTATCACTTCTCTTTTATAATCTCTCTGGAAAAATTTCCTTCCATTGTTGTATATCAACTCAAGGTTTGGTTGAAATTAAATTAGTAATAGGTTAATTCTAAAATAGCTTCTTGTATTGACCAAGACCAATAAATACTCACTCTTATAAGTGAAATATCATTTTGAAATGATCATTTGAATAACTGAAAGTATCTTGTTTTCAATATGAAAAGTTAAAATTGGTTTGGATTTTGCCACAAACAATATTGCATGAAAAAAAAGCTTCATTCTTAGCCATATGCTTCATAGTTCAGATACATTTCCATTAGTAATTCTAACTGGGACAACTTATGTCCCAGAAAATACATCAAAATGAGAATAATTTTAGTTTCATATTTCTTAGAATGACAAGAATAACAAGCTAATATTCTATACTAATAGAAGTTTATCAGGGAGAAGTGGTGAGGGCAAATAAAATCTAGAGATTATCCTTAATTATAAAGAAGAATAAATGTCAAAAAATAAAGCTGATGATAAGATGGTATTTTGTCATTTGTAAAGTAAAGAAACAAAACACTTTTTAGAATTCCTTTGCTCCACAAAATTGTTCATTAGGACACATTTTCAGTGTAACATGACATCTAGAAATATCAAGTTTAATCATGTATTTCTAAAACTTCCTACCCACCTACCTAAGTGAAAAAAAATGAAGATGTGGGTGTTTGTTCTACTTTTGACAACAATTAACACGCCTGTGTCTCACATGAGGGCATCTGGATTTGAGTTTTGAATCTAGTTCATGATTCCATTTCTCTGCTGATACAGCAGGTGATGAATCAAGTAACTGAGTCCATGTCTACATGGAAGACCTCGACTGAGTTTTTGACACTCAGCTTTGGAAGGGCTTTTACAGTAATTTGGGGGATGAATTGGCAGATGGGAGGTGTGGGGTGTGTTTGTATGTGAGTGTGTGTGTATTAAGCTCTCAAATATTGATAATAAAAAAATCTTTAAATTCAGAAAAATGTAATGATCTAATGCTATTATATACTGACATATTTCTGTCACATATACTGTCACAATTTCTTTATGTTAATTTTCTTAACAATACCAAAACAGTGGCAATTATAAAATTTCACAGATGCTTAATTATAACAGGCTAAGTTGCTGCCTGTGGCGCTTGTGTCCTTGCGGGCACCGGTTTGATTCCCAGCTGCTCTGCTTCCAATCCAGCTGCCTATTTATACACCTGGTCCTGGCTTGGGCCTGGCCCGGCTCCAGCTATTGTGGCCATTTGGGGAGTAAACCAGTGAATGGAAGATTGCTCTCTTTCGGTTTCCCCTCTTTCTCTGTTGACTTTCAAATAAAATAAATAAATCTTAAAAAAAAAAAAAAGTTCTGAATCCCCCTCTAAATGGTAGAGAGATAATCTGATAAAATGACGGAATTGGCTGGCGCCGTGGCTCATTTGGCTAAGCCTCTGCCTGCAGCGCCGGCACCCCAGGTTCTAGTCCTGGTTGGGGTGCCAGATTCTGTCCCAGTTGCCCCTCTTCCAGGCCACCTCTCTGCTGTGGCTCGGGAGTGCAGTGGAGGATGGCCCAAGTGCTGGGGCCCTGCACCCGCATGGGAGACCAGGAGGAAGCACCTGGCTCCTGGCTTTGGATCGGCGCAGTGTGCCGCCCATAGTGGCCATTTTGGGTGTGAACCAATGGAAAAGGAAGACCTTTCTCTGTCTCTCTCACTGTCTAACTCTGCCTGTCAAAACAAAACAAAACAAAACAAAACAAAACTGGACAATGTTTTATGAATGATCATTTGTTTTACTATCTTCATGGGCCATCTAATAACAATACTACCCTGAACTGAATAAAAACTGATTTATCTAGTACTACAGTGAGATATTATATATATATATATATGGTATATGCAAACATGATCTCTTGCACTTTAAACAAATTAAAAAAATAGTTTGAAACTATTAGTCCAATTTTTTAAAAAGATTTATTTATTTATGTGGCAGGTAGAGTTACAGAGAGGCAAAGGTAGAGGCAGAAAGACAGGTCTTCCATGTGCTGGTTCGCTCCCCAGATGACTGCAATGGCCGGAGCTGGGCAGATCCAAAGCCAGGAGCCAGGACTTGCTGGGGCCCAAGGACTTGAGGCATCTTCTACTGCTTTCCCAGGCCATAGCAGGGAAGTGGGTTGGAAATGGAGGAGCAGGAATTGGCACCTATATGGCATGCCGGCACTGCAGGCAGCAGTTTTACCCACCATGCCACAGCACAGCTTCTACATCCAATTTCAAAACTAAAATATAAAGAATTGGTCATCTATAATCTTCCAGCTTATTGGTAAGAAAAGCATGGCATATTTCTACTTTGAAAGCAAACACAAGACAAAGAACAATGTAAATTAATGGGAGAAGGTTAAGAAGAAAAGGCAGACACCAATTAGGGTGACTAGTCTTTCTCAGATCTAGGCTGAAAAAACCTACGAGGTATGTTTTTATTCCAATAGGAGGCAAAGATACTAGAGGGACATTTAAAAGTAATTTCTGTAAGATTTCTTTAGAATAGCAAGACACTGCAAAGCCTTGCAAGTCAAGAAATTCCAATTGCAACTTACAAGATTTCTCCCTTCCTTATGTAGATTTCAGTGTGCAATGAAATACACATAGCATTTGCTTTTATACATGTAAAGTGTCTGACCTTTACACCACATGAGCTTATAATTTAATTATATGATGGTACTAGCAAGACTACAAAATAAAACCACTCAATAGTAAAATGTACGCACAATGCAATATTGCACACTGTGAAGTACGGCCAATATTACACAGTATGACTCCTCAAGCAGCTGAGAAATCATTCAACAGAATTATAGCTTTGGAGAGCAGAGAATTTTTTTAAGAGCAAATAAGGTCAAAATTTCATTAAGGGGCTGTCTCACAGCCTGGCATTATTCACGAGTATAGAATATAAATCCTTTACTGACAGCTCTTAGCAGTTAAAGAAAACATTTGCATAACACTTCATTTAACATAGATCAAATTAGTAATGGAACTATTTGATTTCTGCCAGGTGATTTCATTGCAAATAAGATATCTAGGTGAAAGGAGGTAGAATGAAAAAGGTCTGGAATTTCTACTTTACTGGAAATTTCCAAGTTGTCTGGGAATGAACAAAAGGAAGGCATATTTTGGCTTTTACAATATTATTGCTTCAATGTGCAAGAGAAAAATTTCCCAGGATCAAGTTTGATTTCAGCTAATGTCCACTGGGAACACCCTGGGTTGCAGTCAGCTGGATTGGCTGAACCAAAATATTCCAGATGGACTCTGGGAAGGATCTTTATGCAATGGTTAAGATATGGCTTGAAATGCCTGCATTCTCATGTTGGGGGATGCTTGGTTTCAAGGCCTGGCTCTGCTTCTAAGAAAGTGCCCTGCTAACGTGCATTCTGGGAGGCAGCCGAGGATGGCCCAGTACTTTGGTCCCTGGCTACCTACAGGGGAAACTCAAATTGTATTCTAGGCTACTGGCTTTGTTGTGTTCCAGTCTTGGCTATTCTGAGCCTTCAGGCAGTGAACCAGTATATAGTAAATAGCTCTCTCCCTCTCTCCCTTCCTTTCAAACAGCATTACTTACAGCTGCCAGTGTAACCTACAAAATAGGAGTTGTTACAAGAGGAGTCATGGGAACAGACACACAGAGTCTCCAACAGTTTATGCATTAGAGCCTGCTTTTCAGAGCCTGTTTTGGGAAAGCTTATCTTGCAACATTGTACTCAGAGGGTTCAAGATTCCCTCCAAAAGAGGAAAACAGCAAGAAACTAGTCTGAGCCCAACTTTGTGAGCATACAATGTATGAAGCTGTATGTCCCTTGACCAGGAAGGGCTCTCTTGAGCTCCCTTTTTTGTTCCTGCTATAAATTGCAAGGAGGAAGGTCTATCCTGCTCCCTCTTTTCTATATTCTAGATATTCCCTTAACCTTTGTTATAAAAGCCCTAGCAAACTAGTTGAGGAGGCAATTTCTTTAGGGAACTATACATTACCACTCTGTTTTCCTGGTCACAAGTAAAAAAGTTTTCTTTTGAGCAACTCTCACCTAACACTAATTATTTGGCGACATCCAATGCAAACAGATCCCTTTGTCTGCTAACAGGGGCTTCAGCTATCATTGTTGCCAGCTCTCGATATCATTTTTAAACCTTTTTTATTTTACATTTTGTTTTTTCAATTAAACAAGTAACACACATAAATATTTTATATAGTTATGGTGTATGTTTTTGTTATATGAATACATAATGTATGATCAGGGCATATATCTTTATCCTTTCAAGTATTTAACTAAAAACATTCAAAAATACCATATCCTAGCTTTGCTTTAGAGAAAAATATACAGTAAATTAGCATTAATCTTCACCCAACTGTGTAATAGAACCCCAGAATTTCTTACACTTATCTCA